ATTTAAAACTTAAACGTACTAATAATTAGTGTCGTTTAGTTAACTTACTAACTAACTAATAGTACTAAGTAATACGTAGGTAGTAGTATATATATATATATATATATATATATATATATATAATGAAATAAACAGTTTCAATGCTATTAATTACATTAATTGTTCATGCTAAAATCAGCATTATAGAACAATAATGAATGTTAACATTTTCCTAAATTGAAAATGTATTTCCAATAATACTTACCTCCTCTGATGCTTTAGCTATTTCTCGATCTCCAGGGTTTCCAATCTTTGCCCATCTAGGCACTGAAAATGCTTGCTCCAGTCATTTATACCCCACTTAAATGCCTTTGGTAAATTCTAATTTGCAAAGTTCTCCACCAACTTCAATACACCCTCAATCTAGGTACTGTATATAACCACCTCATTTAGAAAATGTAATCACTCTTCTTGACAAAGCATTTAGCATGGGTTTCTATAAACAGGAGTGTTGTGCTTATACACAATTTACATTTTCAAGACATGAACCAGCTTTTAGTGGGGAGGTAGGGTGGGAGAGTGTCAATAGAGGTAAGTATTATTGGAAATACATTTTCAGTTTAGGAAAATGTTAACTTCCAAAACCTATTTACCTCTGCTGACACTGAGGCATAAAGATGGTACAAGAGTGGGGGAACTGCACTACATCCAGAAAAGGTATGCTCTTCACTTGGAAATCAGTTCCTATATCAACCGTCAGTATAGGCCAGTCCCAATCAGATAGCCAAGGTTCCACAACTCTGGGCTGGAATTAAGGGGTTGTAGTACCTATATCCCGCATTGGTGGCTAGAGCTATTGGACCACAATGTTATATATATGTATATACTTTTGATTGGATCCCAACATGTAGCCATAGAGTGATGTGTTTCGCACCACAAGAATCATGATGAAAAAGTAAGCAACACCTTAGTGGACAAACATTCTCCTCCACCTGAAGAAATCAACTAAGTGGAAAAGGTGCATTCCACTTGCCCCTAGAATTATGGAGAGGACAAGGAACCTGTGCTCAACCAAGGACCTAGGATGGGACCACTTTGCGTTCGGAATTATGAGGAGATAGTGGACCTCCTTCCATGAACAATATACAAAACCGACACTGATCAAAGAGAAAGGACATGCACACCCCAACCTGATAGCTTCGTGTCAAATCTGAACCAGAAATACAAGTAGGCTTTCGTGGAGGTTGGTGCTACTCCTACTGACATCTGGGAAAAACATCCAGGAACTCAAGTAGGAGGGCCCCCAACTTCACCCTCTTCTCAAAGAGTGGAGGAACACACTCACACACTCTGGAGGAAAAGCCTCTGTTCAATACTCCAGCAACTGGAAACTGGAGGTGGTAAGGACTCTTGAGCTCCACTAATAAAGTCTGGGGAGTAATACGCATTGTGGAGTCCTGAGGAACAATGCTCTGGAAACTGTGCAATAGGTGAACCTACATTTTTAAAAGCAAACTGACACCGATTTAGTCAACCTGAAGATTGGTAGGGATGGACAGAATCCCCTTTTGGCTTTACTCATGATAGTCCAGGAGTGGCAGTCCATAATAATTAGGTAATACCATCTGGTAGGCACCTAGATGGTCTTATGGAACACCCCATTTAGATAGAGCCTGTTGCAACCTGTAGTAATTATAGTGAATGTGGGTGCTAGTGCAGAATTGAAAAGAGAAAGCATACCTGCTTGGGCAACACTTGCCACAGATTGAGATCCAGTGAAGAAATAAAGGGACCCTGGAAGAAAAAAAAGAAAGAGTATATGACTGAGGAAAATACTCACCTCTGGTTAAAATCTAATAGATGTGGACAAAATAGCTACAGGTGGTAGTCAAAAACTCTCAGAAGAGGAAATTGCCAGATCATATAAGTAACGAGATAGGAAAGTATTAGAGGTAGTCCACATACCAACCCGCACAATGTCTTCAAGAAGGCAAGTCAACCAGGTAGCTAATGACATAGAGATATGACAAATCTGGTGAGATGTGACATGTAAAAGATTCCTCTCCTGTAATGATAGTCCATTATAGGCCATGTGAATCAAATTATGAAGCCACCTTGTTAGGGTAATGGGAGATAAATCACATGAAATATAAGGATTCCAATGAATGAACAATCAGTTCCTCCTACCTCAAAATGAGTTAGTATGAGCCATATAACACTTGAGAGCCCTAACAGGACATAACAAATGATCAGGATCCAAGCAGACATAAAGGTGAGAAATGGCTGGCAAATGGATTGGTGAGAAGAATCTTTCCCCTTTCCTGGCTGCCAGAGTCTTGAGAAGACTTATTGGGGTAAAGCAAGACAACTGTGGAATGATAAAGAGTCTGATGCATATGGATTGCAAACAATTCTGACTGACAATGTCCACAAGCCAACAAAAAAAAAATACAATTTAAGAGAAAGGTGAAACAAAGAACATGAAGCTAAAAGCTCAAAGGGAGAATGAGACAATGCATGTAAAACTGTAAAATCCCAATTTGGTATTTGAAAAGGTCATTTGGATCAAAGAATACGAATAATGGATAAAGATGCCTTATATAAAGCCATCATAGACAAAGCAACACCCATCTCAAATACCCGAGTCATATAATGGGATATTGTGGATATTTTAGGATGAAGAGGGTTTAAATCCCTTTTAATACACCACTGACAAAAAGTATTCCATTTCCGTTGATATACAACCATGGTTGGCCTATAGAGAGATTTAGTTAAATACAGAGAAACCTTAGAAGTTAAACTCTTATGTTGGGCAAAGGAACGCATAAATTCCATGCATGAAGATTGAGTTACGATGGGAATGAGCACAGTGGAGAAGATCCAAGGTACAAAAACAAAGGTCTCGAGAATGTATGCCTTCTTGAAGAGAAATCTGAGATACCACCATGGAATTGTCGGAATGTATCATGACAATTTTTCCCTTCAAGAGATACAGACCTTGAATCACTGCTTGGTGTACTGCAAGGAGTTCGAGAACATTGATATGGAGGGTAGATCCTTCTTCCATTCAAATACCCTGGAACTCCTGACCCTGAAAATAAGCTCCCCATCCCTGAAGAGATGCGCCTGTGAACAGTTGTATCTCAGGGCGAGGTAGTGGAATGGGTACTCCAATAGTAATGTTGTTCCAATCCAACCACCATTCGCAATTGACAATATTGCTCCTGAGTAATGAGACAGGATGATCAAAAGGATCAGAATGCATAATCTATTGCTCACACAGTGACCACTGAAGGGACCTCATATGTGCTCATCCCAAAGAAATGAGAGGCTCAAGAGATGCCCACATCCCCAAAAGAGAGAGAACCATCTGCTCAGTAGGAGAAGAAGACATAAGATAATAGTGGAGGTGGTGTAAATTGAATGTCCAACCCTGAAGCCAAAACATGGAGTACCAATGGATCTCTGGTGAAAGAACTCCAGATGTCCAGAAAGTGATGTAATCGTGCTCCCACTGCACCCCTGCCCATAGAATAGTCACTGACAGCATTGTTGATGGTCTGCCTGAGTCAAAGATCCTTGAGAATATGGATGGACTCTATTATGGGAACCAACAGACCTGGGAACCGAAGAAGGGGATTGGGAAACACTACGAGTTGACACTCCTAAATTAGCACCGGAAAGGTGAGAAGCCAATGACGATCAAGAAGAATGTAAACAAGCTGAATCAATTCATGATTCTAACATCTCTGGGACTCTGGCAAACAACATGGGATGGAGAAAAGGAGCTTCCCGTAACTCTCTGATGGCAGAAGATAGTAAACGAACACTTTCTAACAAAGTGTCTCTACCAAATAAATCCCAACAACAAACCAGCTAGAAAACCAGAGAAAACTGAAGAAGACAATCTGACTGAGGTAGATGTCAGCAAAATTCTCAAATTGCTGAGGGGAACATTAATAGGCTTCTGACAAAAGCTGGATCGAAGATAAATATCCCAGGACAATCGTGAAAGTAAGATGAATCCAAGAAAACTGTGATCTGTTTAAAGTGATCACAGGTTCCAAACTAACCTCCACACAAAAGGCATAGCTATCCCATCGCATAACTGAGCAGCAAATCTCCCAGCATGAACATCAATATCAGGAGGAGGAGGAAAACCAAGTAGTCATTTGCCGTCCTTTCTGCCAACTAGGAAGGAGTAGAGTCAAATGCAATAGGAGAGACCCCCAAAACTTCACAAACCCAAGTAACCAACTGAAGAGAAGGGGCTGGAGATTGCTGATCAAGATGATCCTCTGTTGAGGCCGACCTAGTAAAAGAAGAACCTGGAAAAAGCGAGTCAAAATTCTCCCAAGGTGGTCTTGGGTCATTTGCAAAAGCCACCTCAGAGCCCCCCCCCCCCCCGACCATACACCCTCGGTCTGCATATATGTCTCCATTTCACAACGGATCATATCATGGACAGCTTTAACTGAGAGTGACCCCTCCACTGGCCATTGACAAACACCAAATAGCAGAAGTGGAAGAAACAAGGTCTGGTTGGCCTCCGTTGTAGAAACATAAACTCAGGAATTCATACTCATCGAAGATATAACCATAGTAACGCCAACCATGTTCAAAGTTGCAACATAAATTGTGAATAATCACAACACTCCTGTTTATAGAAACCTATGCTAAATGCTTTGTCAAGAAAAACTGATACATTATCTGAATGAGGTGGTTATGTACAGTATCTAGTTAGAGGGCGCATTGAAGTTGGCGGAGGATTTTGCAAATTAAAATTTACCAAGGGCAATCGAGTGGGGTATAAAAGAATGGAGCAAGCATTTTCAATGCCTAGATGGGCAATGAATGGAAATCCCGGAGATCGAGAAATGGCTATAGTGTCAGCAGAGGTAAGTATGTTTTGGAATTAACATAAAATAAGCATTAAAAAGATTTTGGTAAAGATTACATTGTCAGTCCTAGCAGATAATGGCTGTGGTAATAGCTCCCAAATGCATTGGGGATATCCCATTTATCAGACAAAATCCAAATGCTGCTATTAAACCAGCCAGTAAACATAGAAAATCAGTTAAGGGTATGGAGTTGAGTGCTTACATCTACAATGTCTCAATGCCTTCCATGCTTCACTGTCTGCAGGCAGTTACCCTTAAAAGCTCTTATAGTTCCTAAAGTACAGATGAAACCACAGTGTATTCAATGACTTGTAAAAAGGGTGAAGGATGAGAGTTTCATATAGCAGAAATTTTAGGGTGGAAAACTATGTTAAGGTGTTGATTTGTTGCTCTTTTCTCCTTTTTCATATTTTAGAATTTTCCTTTTGTGAATTTTCTACCACTTTTTTATGCTGACTAGTAGCATAGCTAGCTATTTGCCAGTAATTCAAATATGCTACTCTTATTCATGAAAGTTTATTTGCAATAGTACTATATGCTTAACTTGTCCAGCCGCCATGGATTTTTAACATGTACTGCAAGATATAACACTATGTAAAATAGAAAATGTAATTTATTTATTACATTATCCATTATATATATACTGTGGTAACTTATGGTATACGTGGTCTTAAATATGTAGGACAAACAACTAATCCTTTACAACTAAGGATCAACCTACATAGATCTCAAAGTAATAAGTGTTTTCCTCATTCGATTGAAATAAATAATTTTAACAAACATTCATTTAATAATGTAAAAATTACTATATTGGAAAAAATATACAATGAAAATCTGTTAACAGAAAGAGGAGAATATTTTATCTTGAAAGAAAAACTATCCTTATAGATTAAACCAAGATTTTCAAAATAAAATTCTGAAGTTTTAAGCTAAAAATACTTGTATTAGAAACATGTTTCATATAAATATTTGCAGCAATAAACAAAATAAATGTAGGGGTAAAGGTAAAATAGAAAAAATAGAATGATTTTGAAAACTTTTGTAAAAATCTAGATTCTGCTCTTGACAGACCTGTCAACTAGGTAAAATTTATAATAAAACAGTTATTTGAATTAAAACGTACAAAACTTAGATATTTGTCAAAATACATGTTAAATTTTTAACTTCAAGATATTTATATTTAAGATTTAATTAACTCTCTCAACATGGCTCAGGCTCAGTCGATTTGACTAACCACATGACCTCTTTGTATTCATATAGTCTTTATAGATTTGATACTACTAATTTTTAATGTGGTATATATATCTTCACAAAATTTGGCAGTCTTTCAGTAAAAATTACAAGTCTTTCACATAGAAAAAATTATATTTTTTAGTGAAGTATTTCAAATAAGCTATAAAAAGATTTGTCCGTGAATATATGGAGTATTTGTTGTGAATAGTCCAGGCCCAAAGTGATTTTCATGTATAAATGAAAAATACTTTTCTTCATCTCAAAAATCTCAGATTTGACTTGTGTAATTTCTGAAACCCTCCTAAAAACATTTCAAATGTTTGTTTTCAGTAAATCTTTATATTTTATCTGTTATTTTCTCTACACTAACTTTATACAATTGGACCAACCTCATAACCACAAAAAAAAATAAAAAAATCTAAATAAATCTAAATTACCCATTTTTTCTTTCTTAAACGACTTCAAATTGTTACATGAAACTACATTCATTTATCCTAAGTAGCTTTAAGCTCATAAGAGTATACATCTATTTATAATTAAATTTTATTGTTTTATTGCCATTTAAACCATGTCTAACTACTATTCATTCCATTATAAGTCGTAAGTCACTTGTGGAATGTGGAGCTCACGTTATGCTATTGAATCATAAAATATAAAATGCATTTTTCTGGAGAGAATAATTTGATTACTGTCTGCCCTTTACGATTTTAGTGAAGGAGTGCAAGGGGGCCCGTGAGGGGGGGAGAGTGTCATGAAACCTTATAAGTGTAGTGAGTGTTTGTATAATACGCCTAAAGTAAAAATATAGCGTGGGATCACCTAGCCTAGGTCTAAGTGCATAAAATTTATTATGAAAATAAAATATTGATTCAATTTTAATCTTAAATTGTTTCTGAATTAAGGTATTTTCTGTTATATCACCAACATTTTTAATAAAAAAATAGACCTCAACAGATACTAAATTAAGAAATCATCAAATATTTTTTCAGTTTTGTTTATACATTTCATTTCATACTTTCAGTACATAGACTAACAACAATATTATGCTATACTTTTGTTGCTAAGCAACATGACATAAAAGCCATTTTTGGAACGTAGTGTTATAAAAATGCACTGGCTTTTCTATATATTAGAAGTTGTTAGTCTAACTGATTTTTACCAATAATTATTCTATAAATATGCCACGAATTAATTTCATGAATGATCTTACTTTTGATTGGCTCACAAAGGAATTTACCAACTGTACTTTTCTGCCTCTTTGTTGGTCAAGCTTGATTTCACAAAATTTATTTATTTCAGTTACGTATGAAATGTGAGATTAGGGTATACTATGGGGTGGTAGTATTTGCCTCATCATTTTTGACAGGCTATACACTAGTACTAAAATAGAGTTGAAAGATTTAATCAGGGTATTCAATGACTTGTAAAAAGGGCAGAGGCTGGGAGTTTCATATAATAGACATTTTAGGGTGGTTTCATTTCTACTTTAGGAACTACAAGAACTTTTAAGGATAACTGCCTTCCCACAACTGGCTGCAGTAGGAGTTGAGACATTGTGGGTGTAAGTACTCAACTTCATACCCTTAATTGATTTTCCATGTTTGCTAGCTAGTTTAACATCAGCATTTGTCTGATAAATGGGATATCCCCAACATATTTGGGAACTATTACCACAGGCATTATCTGCTATGACTTTAAGATGACAAATAGGGTTGACGATGGAATCTTTACCAAAATCTTTTTAATGCCTATTGTATACATATATATATGTACCTGTGAAGGTAATCATCCCATCTACCATAGCACAGATCCAGTCCACCAATAAAAGCATAGGTTTGGTCTATAGCTATGATCTTTTCATGATGAGCCCAGAACAGCACTCCTCCTGGCACATGATCTGGATGACGGAGGACCTAATCGTAGCGAATGAAAAAAGTGACTGACAAGAACATAAAACTTCAAATCCATGCAGAAACTACATAAACAATCATTATTTTTTCCATAAGATGTATTACTAAAAAGCCATCACTAATAATGATTCCAGTTTACATGTTCCTGTAGCTGATAAATATACCTTGATATTTGGGTGTTGTTGCACCAACTGCCTCTTGCTGTACAAGCTATTTATTCCAAGTGCCAGTTCAACTTCTTTGTAGAGAAGGACAAATATTTTAACACCCTGTTGCTGGATGAAAAATAAAAGAAAGTGATTTTCATAACATTTATTTTCAATATCCCAATAATGAAATGCAAGCTTATTTTTTTTCCTGCTCATTTTAAGTTAAAATAAAATAATGCACCAGACGTAAATTTTAGGATGTCTTACATGACCATCAAAGAATGTTCAATTTCAATTTTTGACAAGTGTGAAGATCAACATATTTAAAAATAAGCACACAACTATACAGGTTAATTCCATGCAGAAATATATAAGATAAAATCTTATTTTTAGAAAACCAGAAGTTCAAAAATGCTTTTGAAAAAAAAATTTTACATAAAATTATCAATATTACTAAGATCTTTTGAAAAACGTTGATTATAAGGCAGCTATAAGAAAATTGTCAGTACATCACATTAAAAAACACAGTTATATACGTACAACAGATTTGTGTTGGGAAAAAAATTGTAAAGGCTTCACTGACTACTTGTTTTAAAGCAATACTTTAGGTCAGATGAGTTTTAGGAAGAAATTTTTTAAAGCCAATCTAAGTTAGAGAGGTGTGACTGAGCAAAATTTAGACCAAGCATTTTAAGGTTTCTTCTTGTCTTACTAGAAAATGATAAGGAAGCCATTTATAAATTCCAGAGGCACTCAGTAGATCCAAAATGTTATTTTTACATGCCTCTGATTTTGAATCCAAAATAACCAAATTCAGATGATTGTAGAAACAAAACACACACAGTTTACGTGATTTATTACTAATGAGTAATCACATCATTAAAATACTGAATACTAACATGTCATGCAAATAATAATGGAATGAATGCCATTTATTAGTTGAAAGCACTATCAAAACTAGAATGGAACTCAACAGAGTGCATACCTCCACCACACAGCATTGATCGTATTCGGCCCTAAAAAAATACGAAAATGTCTGCATGTCGTCGTTATGAACTGACACAGACCATTTCTGGTGGGACAATGAGGAATAATATTCTACATATGTACACCAAGTTTCATCAAAACCTGATAATTTTTGACTGAGTTATAGAACAAAAATAGTGTACAAAATCAGTTCCTATGTTAATAGATAAGGATTTTTTGTATCTTGCTGTGACCGTGATCCTCCAAAAACTAATCACTTCTAAATTCCTATAAATATATAGGGTAACAGCAGTAAAACAGCAAAAACATATATAATACATTGAAAAGGTCAAGGGGATGTCTTTAATTCTCCAGAAAATCACAACACAAAAGCCATTTTATATGTTTATACAAATAACTACAGAAAATTAAAATATTTACATTAGTTAAAACAAAAAGTATGAGTGTCTACATCCCAGCTTTCTTGAATAAAACACTTATGACTCTCAATGCATATATGGTAAAATTTAGTTCTCTCAGGCAAATCATTATAAATATGGTGTTCTCTTTCTATCGAACCATTTCATAGATAATTCATAAAAAGTCATCCTCCATTAGTGTAGAACACACTAGTAGTTTCAACATCAAGCTATGACACAGTACATAGAAATCCTGAATATGCCAGGTACTACTATATACATATAATTTATAATACATACTGCTTTACGTTGAAGAATTTTATCTAAGCGCCACCTTTCACCATGAATTACTGGTCGTTTTAAATAGATTTCTGGACTTAACCACCAGTCTGTAATGAAAATTTCTTCTTGAGCAAGTTGCAATGCATCAGCCACAGCTTCAAAATAAGTAGCACCATCTATAAACCTAAAATAAACAATAATAAAAGTATCTTTATCAAGTAACAATAATATCTTGAAATTACTATCAATATGAAAAATTTATTTATATCACAAGAACACTCACATGTAGACTAGAAAAAATGTAATAGTTCCAAAAAAACGTTCTATAAACATCTTTTTTTTACAAAAACTTAATTTTTTTAAATTTTTAACAAAATAATTCTCTGTAAAATTCTCTTTTTAAATTTATATCATACAACACTAATTTAATCAAATAAATCTTCTGTTACCAGCGGCAAGAAACATTATTTCGAACAGGAGCAAAAGAATCATAACGGTTCTGTTGTGTAAAATCTCTAGCAGATGTGTTGGCAACTTCCATGATATATTGGGCCCACTCTTGTTGTTTTCGTTTAGTCCAACACTTGACCAGCAACTTTCTAAGTAAAAATAGTTTTATGTAATGTAACTGAGATGTAAAACATTTTTAAAAAGCTAATACCTATATTGATATAATCCATTATTATTGTAAATGTTTTAACTGTAAATGAAATTATTCACTATGATGAAGAAATAACTAATATTTGTGACTAGACATAAGGGTGAATGGTTGGTTGTTTCAGATATTTGCACAAAGTTACACAAGGGTTAGATTAGAAGAAAGGCAGATAGGCTACAACACGTACCTCCAGCTCTTAAGCTACTCTAATTTTACTCTTAGAAGTCACTAACAGCCCAAATCTTCTGTTACCAGAATTTATTTATTGATGGATTGATAGAGATATTTCTCAATTCATATGGATCATTAACAATTGATGTGTTTGAAGGAAAACAAAGTTTGATAATAAACAAGATTACGATACTTATGATATACAACATTGTTTATTGACAAAAGGGGGACAAAGATAAACGTTTTGGAATTCTATCACATTCCATCTTCAGTATCTAAAGCAAAATAAAATAAATTTACATAAGTCTTTGGACATTGTTAAAGCACAATTGCTAAATATAACAATAATTAAACAAATAAAACACAAAACAGTAATCATGGGGAGAAACTACAGCAAGAAAACACAACAAAAAAAGTAAAATTAGTAATACGAACATATTAAAAAATGTATAATTTAAATGAAGACTGCACGTTGTTCAGTGTTGGAGAGTGCTGTTTGATGTGGAGGGTTTCTTTAATCAATAATTCCAGGTCAGTATTAGACTTGCAGAGGATAGAGAAATTTCATAGTATAGGTTGATGTCCTGTTTCTTCACTATGTTGGCATATAGAAGAAACACAGGGGTTATTCAGTGTTTTTTTTGCATTTTGATGGAAATTCCCATATGTTCATAGGCTCTGACTTTTAAATGGCATTTGGTTTTGCCAATAGAGGAGGCCTTACAGTTTCCACACATGTAAAGATAGACAAGCCAGGAACATAAGGAATGGGGAGGAGATCTTTAGTAGAGAAAAATTTTTTTATGCATGATGTGGATTTAAAAACTAATCTGAAATCCACTTGAGGGGAGTTTCTTTGTTAGGAAGGTGTTGGTAATGTTTTCTAATAAGTGTTGTGAATAGCAGTTACGTTTCAGGATATCACGTAAGAACGAAATTTCAGAGTGCTCCACATATCTTAATCTACTCTGAAATTTCGTTCTTACATGATTTAATATTTATTAAACTTTACACTAGTCTTGTCAATGTATATGTTAATCAAAACATCCAAAAATTTACAGCATATAGGAGCTTCACTTCACGTTTCTCAGTCAATTTGTTTACTGGTTTAAACAATGGTTCTTTTCATCTTCACGTTATTACTAATGATAAATATTCTGAATTTTTTGAATATGACAACAGCATATTTGGACTAATTATTTTTCTAATATGATTTTAACTGAACACATGTATGAACAAACAACTCCAACCAAAACACACATGTTCACTAGCGATGTTAAACTAAAGCAACATGAAGTGTGAGCCAATCACGGATTTAGCTGTGTTATAATTACAAGTATTTTGTAATTTGATTATTATGGATTAATGGTGAGTTGTGTTTAGAAATATTTCACTGTTTTTCCATTTGCATTGTTTATTCCAGAAACATGTTACCCATGTTTTTGCTCTATCTATACAAGTTTAATATGGCCAGAAATATTTTCCCCATAGATATTTTTCTTTCTAATAAATTTGTGAATAAACAATATTTCTCTATTTTAGAACAGCCTCTCACTTTCCAATGTTCTTGTTATGTCTCACAGTTAAGTTACCTGGAGAGGTTTGAGATTAACAGGCCATGAGGTATTCCAGTGCTGATAATCCCTTGTTCCACATGAAATCCTTGATCCATCAAAAGAACAGACTTGATGATTCCATCCCGAGGTCGAATGTAGGCAATGAAGTTGTTTTTACAGACAAGCCACCTAGAAAAAATTTTAAAGAATTAAAGTACAATAACAAAAAAATTCCAAGATGAATTATTTAGGTAAGTATATATAATCACCTATTCAGCTTCTTCATGGGCAACCTATACTTATAAATATAGAAGTAAATTAAGTAAAATGCTAAAAAATAAAATATAATTTGAATATATATAGATTAAATCATATTCTGTTCAATGATGTCACACAATAAACCCTCAAAAAATAAATTTATAAAATTGATTTCTAAACAACAAAACCATAGCACTAAATGCAAATGTATCACTAAATTATCCTACTTTGATGAATACTTTAGCAATAAAATATATACTTTACTCTCACAATATCTGAAGTCTTAAGGAGGAAAGATAGATAAATACAGTATTGACCTATAGAACATATAAGATCTGCACAAATAATTTAACATAAAAAATAAACTGCCTAATGCAATGTGGATCAACAAAATTTCTCTATCTTAGAATATCCACTCACTTTTCAAATATTGGACAAAGCTGCCATCTTTTGAAATAGAGGTACTTTTAAATAAAATAAAAATTACAAAGTTAAAAAAAAATTCAAATGTTAGATAATCTATCTAAATGTATACATGCTAGTATTACTCTATTTTAACACAGACCAGCTAATGTAGGTATATACAAATGCATAGACTTTATCTCCTATATTTTTTTTTATCTGTTTAGGACTGAGCTGTTCAGTAACTACATTTTTAAACCCTGAAGTGAAATTCAATCAGTTACTTAATCTAGTAGTTAACACTTTAACAAACTGTTGATCTAAGCTAATCTACTTGTCATTTTTTTACATCACATCCCAAGTAATGTCTCTCTAAGCCACTCTATCTCTCTCCTGATACTTTCTTACAATACATCCTACGTAGTATTTACATAAGCCACTCTCTCTCTCTCTCTCTTGTTACTTCCTTACATAACATCCTAAATAGCATTCACCTAAGCCACTCTCTCTTTCTTTTTCTTGAGACTACCTTTTACAGCATCCAACATAATGTTTTTCTAAACATCTCTCTCTTACCCTCATCACTTTCTTACATCATATCATATTTAGTGTAAACCTAAGGCCATACAATAAATTTCAGTGTAATTATAGCACGTATGAACATATATCATTTCATTAAAAGTAAAAACAAATTTGTGAAAATGAAATCTTCTAAACATGAACAAACTGAGCTCGATGTCTTGGAAAACACAAAAGCCATCTTCAACTTAGTACTTAGTTTTATTAGTCATAACTTTTAACAATCAAGAACATACTTATATTGTTGCAGACACATTCCTTGTATACTATAGTAATTATAAAATTATATAAATATATATAATCCAATATTTAATGCATAAAGTATAGTAGCTGAGAAAGCTTCAATTTCTTCTTTAATTGACATTTTTATTGTGATGCTCTCTTTCTGCATTTGTGGGAAGAAAACAAATTGAACCACATATTTTCACAAACTTCATTACTTTTTTTCATAGTAGTAGTTTTGGTTTATTACTTAGTATTTATTGTTGAAAAAAAACGTACTATCTTTAGAGAGAAAACATTAACAAATTTTTCTCTTTAAAAGTGATTTAAATGGTATTCCCATAAGACATTTCTAACAGTGCATTTAAAAATGTTATGAAAAGGTAAAAAACAAAATAATAACCGTAAAATAAATGGGTGGTTCAACTGATTTTCATCAAAATTGAAAGAAAAACTCAAAATACTGTACTTTCAGTGAGCTCCAAAAGCACATACAGTCAAAACTACAAATTGCTTATAGACATTTTCATAATATACCATATTTCGAAATTAAGTAGAACACGAAATTTAATTGTAAAACATACTAATAACTTTAGTACATTCTGTAACAATTACATAAGAATCTAAATTTCATGATGATGTTCTTTAATACCTTACTTGCTCATATACCATGTAGTTTCTAAATGATTTGAGTTGTTATTATACATACGAATTGCATATTTTGGTGTTTTTATCTTCAGAATTTTGCTTCTTGTTCTATTTGTTAATTGGCCTTTGCTTATTAACAACCCTCAACTGAACAAATGGTGTTCATTATGACTTTATCTGCTTGTGTAACTCAGATTTATATATATATATATATATATATATATTTCACATAACTATTACTTTGAAATGAAAAAATATACATTTGAGTGTAACCATCAAAGATGTACCTTTTCCTCCAGCTGCTACAGAAATAAAAGAAAATCCATTTAAACCTCATACAAACAGTTACAACTTGATGTCCACCTGAGCGTTTTTTTACTAATCCTTCCTTGCCTTTTTGGCCCAGAGCTTCAATAAAGGAGACAGGGCTTATTTCCAAAAACTTTAGCTAAAAAAAGAAACGAAGCAAGTTTCTGTAAAGGTTTAAACAGTTGAACTTGTCACAAACAAAAAAGAATCAATTTTGATAAATTTTCTTTGTAGTTACGTAACAACTATTTTTTTAAGTTTTAATCAAAAAATAAGTACATTTTCTATAGAAAATAAATTTTCTTAACATGTAATTATTGTATACTGTTTAGCTGTTAAAACCATTTAAATGAGAATTCATTCACACTTGATTTTAGTGCTTCTCAAACCAACCAACAAATACAAATCAAACCAAGCTCAAAAGTTACATGAAAAATATATTTTTCAAAATGGATGAGACTATTTCAAAGAGAATAAAAATATTATGAATAAAACCAAGTATATAAAGTTACTACTTCATGGACTACTAACATACACTCAGACTGTAAAGTTACCTCATGCATTATTAAAATACGTCACCCTTACAAAACAAATAAGACTGGAAATATCAGATGAAAAAAAAATGTATAATTTGTTTTTTGTTTCCTAGTAAACTATTACATCACTACACCTACTACTAATGTGATTTTTATACAGCTGAATGTTAGTCATATGACAGTAAATGCTGATTAATCTTTCTTCTGAAAATTAAATCTAAATAAATGTTTCATGAACATGTTGACAAAAAATCAATTATATTGTAGTAACAATATATGTACAAAGAATGTATCTTTTTCTAGTATTTCACAAAAACAACATTTTTGTGTAAATTTTGTCATCACCTGTAAGTTATTCTTGATTATAATTTTGACTTATGTAAATTTTTACGTTATGTTCAAATGTTCTTCTCGATAAAGTCTTATAGACTGAACATATATGAAAAAACTGATTGTCAAAGAAATATTCCTACATCATCAAAAGTCTGACCCTGTGACTTATTAATTGTGATTGCAAAAGCAATGAATTTTATGGTGAAAATTCAAAAATGCATAACTTTTCATTAAAAATTCATATAATTTTTTTGCCTAAATATTTTAAAAATCTCTTACCAAAGGCAAAAAACATCAATAATTGAAGATAGCTTTTATATATATATACGGAAACATCTGTTAGCTGAGTGCTTGCACAAATCATAAAATATAATGTTTATAAATGGAACCATCGCCTCACGTAGATGCATAGATCTTAAAATATAACATTCATAAATGGAAACATTACGTAAGTACCGACATTCTCAGTGGCAAGATAATTCTTAAATAACCATATTTTTTCTGTGTGGTAAGTATCACATCTTTGTGTGTTGCAGGCAAGAACTTACATGTGGAATAAGCACAGTAGGGGTTCACTTGCAGGAAAACATTTAGTAATGACTGTTTTTCAAATTTTGTTGAAATATTACCAATCCATGGTAGTTTTAGGTAAACTGGGCACTTGTTAGGACCAAATTTTGGATCAGTTGAGAAGCTCGCAATTTTCCTTAAAGTATCTACATGAGCCAAAGTTTCCATTTATGAACTTTATATTTTAAGATCTGTGCATGAACTCAGCTAACAGATGTTTCTATATATAAAAGCTATCTTCAAGTTTTGTACAAAGAAATACCTTTTAAAACATCAATAATGTATTGTAGCACCATCTATTGCTTTGAAAATATATTTAAGTTGTTTCTGACATATACAGTCATTCATGTTTATTATGCAATCTGTTATCTCTTATTTAATCTATGTTTCTATTCATATTTTTCTGAATATTCAAAGAGCTTGCTGTGAATGTGATAATAAATATATAAAAAATTAATTAAAATAAAACACTAACATTAGATCCCAATTCAACTGGGATTTGAACTTGAGATTTCCATATGACAGTCAAGCCACTGTGACACCTACTGTGTCTTTGTAACCAAACGTTAACAAATAATTCAAATTTCTAATTTAAAAAAGTATCATGCTATTGTGTTTTTTACTAATATTCCAATATCTTTCTCTAAACATGATGAGTTAATAATTTAAAAAATTATAAAACATTCCCACTCGAATTTAATTTGAGCTCAAGACTTTCCCTTGAAACAAATCACTAAGCCAATTTCAATGTTAACAATAGAAGGTTGAGAACGGATTTTATTATACAGATACTTCTACATGAAAAGATAAGCTTACTTTAACAGTACTTTATTTTTACAAACAACTTTATTAACTCTCTTGCTATGAGTTTGGTTGAATCGACTGACCTCATGACCATTTTGTACTCATTTTTCACAAAATTTGGCAGACTTTTAGTAAGCATTACAAGTCTTTTGTACACAAAAATCAGATTTTTTAATCTAGTATTTTTACTAAAGATGTGTCCATGAATATATTTAATATTTCTATATACTAGTTCCAGTGCAAAGTGATTTCCACGTTAAGATTAAAAATACTTTTCATCTCAAAAGCCTCAAATTTATTTGCATAATCTCTAAAACCTCTTACTCAGTAAAACTTTATATTTTATGTTATTTTCCTTAGCCTAAACTTATACATAATTGGTCGATTTGACTGACCTTTTAACCACCACAAAAAAACATTGAAATCAAACTAAATTACTCTTTCTTTCTTGCTTGAACTGAAAGTAAAATTGATAATTCTCTTTAAGGAAAACAACATAACATGTCATTTGATTGATGAAAACTTTATTGGTTATAAATAATATAGTATCAGCAATTTCTGAAAGAGAAGATGTGACAGGTGGGCATGGCAAGAGGGCTCTGCTTGTTTATTTCATGGCTCTGTAATCAAATAAGATTGAAGGCTATGAAAATTATGCTTTGCCTGAGCAATTACAATACTATACTGAGACATTTACGTTATATTTTGTACTTCTTGGAGGGGGTGGTAAATAAATTGGAGAAGAGGGGATGCCTAGAAAGCAAATGTTACAATTCTCACACTCAGGGAAATTCTAGATTTTTTTAGACATTGAATTATAAAAGTAAAAACTTATATACTATTAAAATATGGATTATTAACCATGTTTTTATTGCACATTTATTGGTATACCATGAAAAGAAAATAGCTTAATTCAATTTTGAATGTAACTCTCTAAAACTTTGTGACATGTGCAGAAAAAGATGCTCATGGTAAGAGGGTTAATTATTGAAAAAAGTTATTTTATTAGATACATACACATCATTTCACAACTCATAGTTCAGCTTAGTGTAGTGTTGTCAAATAAGAGAAACAAATGCTTGTTAATATGCAGTTTTACTTAAACTAAGTCACTGAGGGTGTTGTTCACCATCTCTACTGACCAGATGGAAGGCAGCTAGTCAGCAGCACCCTATCACCCACCATCCATATTAAAGAACTGACATTTACTCTTATGATGCACCCACAGCTTAACTCTTTGACTATAGGCAGGTGCATTACATACTATGTAACACCAAAGTAACCATGAGATTAGTCATACAATAACTTTTGATGATATATGCATATCTTCACAAAATTTCAGACCATCAGTAAAGATGGCTTTTGTACACAAAAAATTAGATATTTTAGTTAAGTATTTGAATTAACAATTTACTTGTGAATTTTTGCTTTCTGAATGTTGACTATCCAACATGCAAAGTAATTTTCATGTTAAGATTAAAAATACTTTTTCATCTGAAAACTGTCATATTTCATTTGCATAATCTGTAAAACCTTCTAAATAAACATCAAACGTTTTTTTTTCAGAAAAACTTTATATTTTATCTGTTATTTTCTCTACCATAACTCTATACAGAATCAATCAAACTGACTGACCTTGTAATCACCATAAAAAATTATAAAATAAATCTAAATTACCCTTTTTTTTTCTAAAATGACTTTAGATTGTAACATGAAACTAAATTCATTTATCCTAAGCAGCTTTAAATTCAAAACAGTATACATCTATTTATACTTAAATTTTATTGTTTTATTGCCCTTTGAACTGTATCTAACTGCTAATCATGCCATTATAAGTTGTAAATTACTTGGAGAATGTGGAGCTCATGTTATGCTATCGAATTACATTACCCACAAGTTACTCCAAGCTGCTCACGTGCATGCTTCATGAAACATTTTAATTATATTATTATTATTAATTATTTTACCTAATATAACCTTAACTAATCTAAATAGATCCCTATTTATACATTTTAGTTACTTTTATAATAATAAATAAAGAATAAACATGAAAAACAAGAAATAAAATACTTACCCGGGGCTTTTTTTTTTTTTTTGTTGTCGACTGTTGATGACACTTAATCCTACTTTTTTTAGACTAATGACAGTAATGCACTAAATAATTTTTATTCAATCAAATAATGCACCAAAGACATAGAATAATATCATGCAAAAAGCAGACAATTTTTGCTAATTATCACAATTTTTCTGGCTTTCTAACTATGTGACAAGAGCTGTTACAAATTCATTTAACCTAGTCATTATCTTTCCCATGAGAATGAAGCTTGTACTCACAGAGAAAATTACAATTCTCCATTCAGAAAACAACATAATATAATACTTCATTTGATAAATGAAAACCTTGGCTTTTTATTGGTTGTACATAATATAGAATCAAACATAAGAGAGAACTATTAATAAATCCCAAAAGAGAAGATGTGACAGGTGGGTTTGGCAAAAGGGATCTGATTTTCTATTTGATGGTTTTGTAACCAAACAAGATTAAAGGCTATAAAAATTAAGGTTTTTCTGAGTAATGATGATTTTATAGTGAGTAATTTACGTTAAATTTTGTACTTCTTGGAGAGGTGGTAAGTAAATTAGAGAAAAGGGGATGCCTATAGAAAATATGTTTCATTTCTCACACTAAGGGATATTCAGGATTTTTTAAAATATTGCCTTATAAAATTAAGAAATTAAAACTTATATATACCATTCAAATGTGGATTATTAGCTACACTTTCATGGACCAATCATCTGTTTGGTGCATAAAAATAATTTAGAAAAATGTGTTGTAAAATTTGAAGCTTGTAGACCTCATTGGTTTATTTGTTAACATATTAGACTATTACTTACTGTCTCAGGATGACACCTATAAATGGGTATAGCAAGTAAATTCTTCAAATAGTCTTCTAGTTGTGCCTACAAAGAAACATTTTCAGATTTATTTCACTTGTATGTGTAAACAGAAATATATATTTTCATGGCATAATGTTCAAAATTTATTCATACTCATACAAAATTCAAAACATATCAAAAATAGGATGATTCACTAATATAATATTTAGAATTAATAAATTTGTTATAGTTTTAATAGAACAGGATAAAACTTCTCTAGTAAAAAATAATAAGTATTGATTTATTTTCAAGACATCTATCCACTCTAATACCTCACATAACTTGTGTAATCCTACGAGTACAGTATCAATATTATCAGTTATCAAACAACTGTTACACTTTTCCATTATTCACCATGAAACATTACCAATCTTAGATGTTTTCAATTTAGTCACATCAATACCAAATTTCACATAAACTAGAACAAGTTTCCTTTTACTTACAGAGAATTAAACCACATTTTTACTTGCAATTGTTATCAAACAAGCTCATGTGGTATTTTAAAGGTGAGGTGTGGAAATTATATTCATTGATATCCACCATGTAAGATCAAGATTCATAAAAAACATCATACTCAGGAAGAATTCTGCAAAGGATAACTTGTACATGGATAGTAAAGCAAAAGATGGAAACATGCATAACAAACAAAGGAAAACAATCTTCATTTTACAGTATAAAACACTTGGGTCTAACTCTAAAATACTGACTGGCTTCAAGATAGAAATAGTGAATAATATTTACCATCTTATGTTTTTAGATGCTTTTAACATCACTTCGATGGCAGTTTTATTATCATGTACTTATTTTCCAGTTCCATTTCTTCTTTCTACATTTCAAATTTTGTTTTTTCATAACTTTGTTTTGCAATTTAAGACCTTTGATTTCTCTTTTTTACCTTCATGAGTTATATGCAATGAATCATTAATATAAAACTGCAAAAAATTAAGATGATCACTCTTAAATTACATATTGTGTATTTCAAATACCAAATGTGCAAACAGCATTTAAACAACACTTTATTGCAGCCCAACAACCATATATTTAACTTAGTATTAAAACTAATCATAACAACTATTTAAACCATACATGATAGAAAGGATATCAAACAGTTTTTGGATATTTAAAAAAAATGCCAACCCGATAAAAGAAAAGTAATTTATTCTTAGAAGAAAAAAAAGTGTTTGGTATATGGGAGTTTCAAAAATGAAAGATCTAGGGGTGTCTTTTTATAAAAGCAAAATTATATTTAGTTAGATTTTCGTGAAGCATACAGAAGGATCATTTCTCTGTTTAGTGTTCTCTCAACATTTTATTTGTTGCAAAATGTTAAGCAATCCATTTTTTATGAAATCAATAACTGATAATGAAAATCACAAAGTATCAGGGCACACTCAACCTCTTGCTTGACTATACTACTACTGATGAATTCTGATAACGAGTGAAAGGCATAGTCTACAGTGGCCTGTAAGAGACAGATAACTGGAATATAATTACAGCAAAATGATGAAGTAAAGAAAATAGAGTAAAAACAACTATTTTCAGTCTTAATGTGATTTTCATCACATCTGCTACCTTTTAAAGGGTTTACACACACATATATGTATATAAATACATGTGTGTGTGTGTATTCTACACTATATATATAATTTAACATCCTTTAACTCGAGGCATGGACTACATCCATAGTTAAAGAATGCATTTCAAATGTTTTCTTACAGTTTACTAAAAAAAAAGGTATCTTATTACAATAGCAAGAAGAATTAGCTACACTACCATAAAATCCAATAATTACATTGAGGTTCACAAACATATCTTATGTCTCCCAAATCAGAAATGAAAGGCCTGTCCTCAAAGAGTGAAAAGAATCAGTATGAGACTGATAAAACTACCTTCACAAAGCACAATCTCTCTGTAGCTATTCAATAAGAAAAAAGGAACCACAATGCAAAGTTTCTCTGTTCCAAGCAGTCCTGTATAATCAAGGTAAAACAGGACATAATGCAATTATCCCATTAAACAGTAGATAAGTTACTTCACTGAACACACTACAAAACAAGACACACCTCAGGTTGAATTTTGCACATGACATCTAGATTTAGCTATGTGCAGTTTCAGAATTAGAAATTGGAAAAAATTAAAAAATTTAATACAGATGAAATATACACTATAGGAGAATGACGGATGCTAAATACTACACATTATCTTAAAAGATTAATATTTTTACTGGATGTTTTCTATCCCTAGCTTGGCAACTCTCTTTGTGAAATAAACCTAGAAATTAACTGGATTACATAACTTTTAAATGTAATCTATTTCAATCACCACTACACTTGTAGCTATAACAACAGTGCCATTAAATGTAATACTATACGTTACCTTGCAAATACAGAGGTTGAATACATTATATTAAAGCAATTTTGGAGCCTCATCACATCACTACCATCCATGTTTCCATGTCTAATCCCGTTCTGTTTGATTACCTTTCATCTTGACAATAGCCCTGCAATATAGTTTCTATTGCAAAAGGCTTTACTATTCGCCTGTCATGTTCAAAGCACACTCATCTTCCCTACATGCATTCCATAATCCATATAGTGTACAAGCATAATTTCCCAGCACCCATTTCAACAGCACAACCACACAGAAATACATTAACATTGTGTCCAGAGACTTGATTATGTCTTGTTAAGAAATAGCTTGAGTATCCATTTCATTCTTCAGCTGCTTAAGATATGCAGCAGTTGAATGAATATGTCATGGAAGTAACCTGCATACATGTGACTTGTGTCACTTTTCCATATGTAGATCCTTCTTGATTATGAGCATTCTGTTGTCTGAGACATGTGGACAACTTCTGTCACTGAGCTTTGTGTTTGTGGATTCTCATTTTTAAAACACAGCACTTTGCTTACCATGGATGGGGTATGACTTATTTCAGGTCTCTTTTATGGATGATACTGGTGCCCCAAGTTTATCCCTAGTTTTTTATTTTCCAGCATTGTTAAGTATAAAAGATATCTATGTCTTGGAAATTCTAAGTTCCATATCTAAACACATCTTTATGATCCGAGTACATGAATGTTTTGTATCAGAAAAGGGTTATTCCCACAAAAAATGAGGATCAATTTCAATGTTATTATACTACTTGTGTACAAAACACTAAACAATGTCAAAATGTAGTTCTGATATATTCTATTCAACCATGACTTTGTATTGGCTATGGTTGTCACAACTTGCTGATTTGTATATTCAACCATCTTGTATTACTTATACATATATATATATCTACATGCAAGTAATTTCAACATATACAAAATCAAGACAATACTTTTTTGTCCTCATACTCTACAGTCTAAATTGTGAGAGGCATTAAGGTTTAGCATACAAATGAAAAGCATACAATTTCCTTAAAAGTAGCAAACAATTATACAGTTGCATGGAGTGTTCTAATTTTTCACATTCTTATTGTAATGGCTTTGCATAATAGCAATATTATTTTTCAGCAGAACTCTGCCTGGAGTGACCATTGAGAAGTACGGGAGTTGCTAAGCTGGACCTCATCCGATCTGGTATAGAGGAGTTAGTGGTTTAGCTCATCATGGTGTTTCAACGACTTAATAGTCCAGTAATGGCCACATCTTTTTTGGACTGGCAGACTTTTATACTCGAGTGTGCCTTTTCCTAGACTAAAAGTCTACTCAGCGCAAGTTTGTGGATGTTCTTGGATAGTTCAAGAACTAGCTTGTCCATCATTAGATAAGATTCTGCTATCTCACCTCAGACACTCATCTGACCAAAGCTGTTGGTACTCCCTGTGGATGGCTAAGTTAACTGTTACATGGCATTTAACACTAACAAGACCCAGGTAGTACCGTCAACTGTCATAAAAGTAACAGAGCCTAGAAGAATATAACTTATAAAAGCTTAAGAACCTGTTCTATGGTTTTATATATAGTTTAAAAGTACTTAGATGTAGTAATGTATGTCTAGCGACATCTCTTAAAAATATATTAAATGAATGATTCAATAAAATTTTATTTTGATTTGTTTAGCAAGCAAGAATATATTTTTAACACAGAATACAAACTGTTCTTACCCGCCTTCTGTCAAGAAGGTCATGAGCTATCAGAGCTTCTGGCCGTTGAGGGAAGCGTGGAAGACTTTTTTTACCTTTTTTCTTGCAAACCTTATGATAACTCTGTCTACGTTCTTGATGTCTGAGACAACAAAAGATGTAAATCATCTTAAAGATTTTGACAAACTTTCCTTACAAAATATTAAAAATTATGTTTTCTAATACACAGTTATGAAAATAAAATTCATAATCACAATTACAGAAAACACACCAGCATTTAGGTGATAACTATGAGTTTTAAATTGATTTTTGCAACTTTTATAAGACTGTTCTGAGACAATGCCTGAAGATCAACTGAAGTATTACAAAAAAATCAAACCATGAAAAAAAATTTCTTTTAAAAGTTCATACACCCAACAGAACAATTCGCTCATGTTTAATTTCTTCCTGAGCCTCAAATTAGACTTTAGTTAATCTGAAAATTTTGTCATCCCAACAATACTTGTTTTCAGTCTCACTCTTGACAAAGGAATTTATGAAATATTGTGTGTTAAATATAAGTGACTAGTGCATAGCCAATCAAAAATGATGGAGCAGGTATTACCACCCTCACCTCATAATATACCCTAACCTCACATTTCATAGCTGAAATAAATAAATTTTGTGAAATCAAGCTTAACCAACAAAGAAGCAGAAAAGTGCAGTCAAGGCAGTCAAACATTGGTAAATTCCTTTGTGAGCCAATCAAAAGTAAGATCATTCATGAAATTGATTTGTGGCATATTTATAGAATAATTATTAGTAAAAATCAGTAGATTAACAACTTCTAATATATAGAAAAAGCCAGTGCATTTTTGTAATACTACATTCCAAAAACGGCTTTTATGTCATGTTGCTTAGCAACAAAAGTATAGCCTAATATTGTTGTTAGTCTATGTACTGAAAGTATGAAATGAAATGTATAAACAACAAAACTGAAAAAATATTTGATGATTTCTTAATTTAGAGTCTTTGTTGATTAAAGAGTTTCATTTTTTATTTCAAATGTTGGTTATATGACAGAAAATATCTCAATTCAGAAATGATTTAAGTTTAAAATTGAATTGATATTTTTACTTTCATGATAAATTTTATGCACTTGGCTCAAGGCTAGGTGATCCCACACTACATCTCTAATTTAGGCATATTATACCAACATTTACTACACTAATAAAGTTTCATGGTACCCCCTCCCCCTCGTGGACCCCTTGCACCTCATCATTAAAATTGTAATGGGCAGACAGTAAGGGAAGTATTCTATATGGACAAATGCAATTTAGCTTTCATAATTTCTCCTATTTTAAGAAATCAAGTGTGATGTGTCCTTAAACTATGATATCCGAACATTGCTGTAGCTCTCTTTAACATCAAAAAAGGACACTTATCTAATCACTTTTAATTCCCATAAACTGCCACATCACTAACTCTTTGTTAAATTATTAATACCTCCAACTCTTTTGGAGTTCTAACAGAATTTGACATTAACATGCACTGCATTCTGATTCTGAGTAAATTATGAATTTTATACCATTTCTATGATGATTCCATTAGGTTATTAATATCAGTGTTTAAGGAATTCAGACACTATATCAAACAATTAAATTTGTCAGTAAAATTTGTAATATAATCAAAAACAACCAACAAATACTTGTACTATAGAACAATTTGTGCATTTTAAAAACTTTCAAAAGAAGCAATTCATAAAATACCTATGAAAAGCTAAGATACAACAATGCTCCTTCCTTAAACAGGAACATTAAGGAATCTTCTGTACTTTCATGTTTTATGATGGTATAACACCTTTTTACATAATGCTCTCATTTACAGCGATGTTGCATCAGAAATGAGACACTTAACAACAGTACATTGAAACATTTTATGCTTCATTAATCTGTCACACACACTCTGAATAAGATGATAGCTACCCCCTCTCCTTTCCCTTTCCTTTATCTCATGATTACAATGATATCCTCACATCAGTATCTTTCAACACTCAACCTAAGCCAAGCTGCAAATCACTGAACTATGGCATAAAACAACTATTTCAGAAACTTAGGAAATTCACTAGAAAACGTGCAAGACATTATCAAAATTTTAGATTTTGGGTTACTACTGCTTACATAAATGCAAGTTCAATATGACAATTTATTCCATGAAAATAACAGTTTTACATTAAATGTAAGGAAGGAGCTAAACACATACCTTATTGTAGTTTAAAGATTCAGAAATCAGATACTAATACTGATATAAAATGATCTCACAATACTTTTTTTTTACAGGATAATAAGAGTATTACAAATATTTTATTGAATAAGAAATATGTAAAAACTACACAAGCAAAAGAAGGTTTATATAAATAAAATGCAGAAAAGAAAAATGACACACCATGAAGAAAAACATCTTTAATAATAAATTAAAGCAATAGATGCTACACCAATAAAAAGTTCTCTATTGTTATGACTTACTGTCGAGTGCCAATTGGTATTGCCATCTTTGCACGGTAAACTCTAAGGTGCTTATGGAGCTCATGAAAATGTTTGTACCGTCTTTTGACAGTCCATTGGAAGTTGCCATGTTGAATCTCAATAATATACCTGTATAATATATATATATATATCTCACTAATAATAAATCCAACACAAATTATACAGATATTACAATTTTTACTAATTTACTCCAATCAAAATGGAATGAAATAATTACTAGTTCATACTACATACAAAGTCTCCTGCTGTATTCTGATTTATCTCAACATCAAAATATGCACAGAAAGTCACAGAAAATATTCAGTGCAAAAATACAGAGTGGCGAAGAAAACACTGAAAGTAATGTAGAAAAATGAGCAAAAAATACATTAAAAACAAGAAAAATATTTTAAAAAGGAGCAAAAAAAAAAACTTCAGGTTTTCACTTCATATTCTTCCTACATGGACAATGATTATGCTATAATGTGACCTAAAAATATTTGTTACCATACTTTATCACACTATTGTAAAAACTTTTCTTCACGTTTTCAAATTATCTTGTAGATTTTTTTCAAGCACTGGAAAACACAACATCTCACAATCAAACCAGTGTTTCCACTATCAGTATTTTCTCTGTAACCAATGTCACTGTGTAAACTACATACAAATGCACCCATCATTAGCTTGAACATATGATATAGAGAACCAGACTTCGCATGTACAGAGGATGTTTTTTACAAACTATGGTATCAACGCATGGAAGATTCCCTAAGTTTTACAGCCCCTTCATTTCACCATTGATGGTATTCTATGTGGTAACCTTATTGCTTTGCAGTGCAATTTTAATTGCAGGAATCTTTGGCACACACACACACACACAAATTAACAAGAAATAAATGCATGATAACACAAAGGCTAGAAAATGACAAGTACTCAACAAAAAAAGAGAAGAACAAAGGAATGAAAACTTAATTCCTTTTGCATATTTTCCAATTCTTTGAAGAAACTGTACCAAATAATAGACAAATTGTTCTTGTTCAAGTATGAAATACCACTAAAATGTTCATAGTAAAAATGGATTAAGTTGAAGTAACTAATATAAATGTAAACAAAGTTTTGAATTTCCAGAAATATGGCAAACAAAAAACACCAAATGGATATAAAGTCAGAGAGCTGTGGTCTAGTTTCAGTTTCTAATCACAAGCACAATATCAGTCATGGATTTTGGTCTCTCTCAAACAAGTATAACAAGTACAGAAAATAATATTTTAATATCAGACAGCAAATACAAACAAAGGTTTATATGAAAAAAATGAAAAGAAAATTGCTAGGTCAGGACAAGTAATAATACAAGTATTTGACAATTTTGATCTATCCAAATAGCCTGATGTAAAATGCATAAGTCTGCTAAAGAAATAAGTTATCAATTATCAACAATGTAGGTGTGTGTATCTGCTGTAGAATGCACTAAAGTTCATGTTTATGAAAACAACAGCCATTGTACATTGTAATTATAAACCTTTAATATTTCATTTTAAAGTTCTTGAAGCAAACAAATGAACCTACATTCTAAATCATAATGGTAGAACTTAGTATTATATTTTTTGTTTTTGTTGTAGGAAACAAACACTTGAGACCATCAATACTGAATGAAAACAAAGAAAAATGAAAGAGAAATAATTCAGGGCCTACATATGCAAATCTAATAATCATTTTATGCTTAATAAGAGTATCTGTTTGTTTTCCATATATATATATATATATATATATGATCTTTTTAATGAGGGCTTTTAAAGTCATCATATAAAATATAACAACCTAGGAAAACAATAGTTGCTGTGGGAAGTACAGTTACTCATACTCAATTAATGTGTTACTAATAATACTAAAATTCCATATATTTCCAATAGGTACTTACTTCCTCTCAAACAAACAGCTATTCTTGTTCAGTGGACCGTACACAGCAAGTCAGCTTCATCCAAAACCCATGCTGCTAGAAACCAACATAAGGGCAGGATGAGGATCATACTGTCAGTAAGTCAACTACAATCCAAAACCTGGCCACTGGGTACCAACATCCATGTGGGGGTAGAAAAGAGGATCATACTGGTGGCAAGTCAACTACAATCCAAAACCCAGCCATCTGGTGGGGGTAGGAAATAGGATCATACTGGTGGCAAGTCAACTACAATCCAAAACTCAGCCATCTGGTGGTGGTAGGAAATAGGATCATACTGGTAGCAAGTCAACTACAATCCAAAACTCAGCCATCTGGTGGGGGTAGGAAATAGGATCATACTGGTGGCAAGTCAACCTCAATCCAAAACCCAGCCATCTGGTGGGGGGTAGGAAATAGGATCATACTGGTGGCAAGTCAACTACAATCCAAAACTCAGCCATCTGGTGGGGGGTAGGAAATAGGATCATACTGGTGGCAAGTCAACTACAAACCTAAACCCAGCCATCTGGTGGGAGTAGGAAATAGGATCATACTATCTTCACCTTAAGTTCAGGAGACTGGAGGGAATCTCGTATCCCCAAACCCATGAAGGGGGCACATGATAACGATGTGAGAAATTGACAGACTGATCTGGGAACCCAACATCCATCATGAAAAATATGCCTATGTAATGTAAGCCACCTCACTCAAATTTAAAATGACAGGAACTGCCTCAAGTGCAGTAACATCCTCAGAATAATAATAACATGAAGGGATAGCGGAAGGGGAACAACCGTAGTAATCGTCAAGTACTTCCATCGTGACCCACAACATGGATGGAGTACCAAGAGTATAAATGAGTGAGGGAATATAGATGTATATAATACATGTGTGAGAATTTATGTTGATTGGTTCAACTCTAAATGCAAAACCCACCAATAGGAATCAACATCCATGTGGGGGGTAGGATGAGGGATCCCAATTGAAGGGGTGATGACTGTCTCCATTTGTTTTTGTTCCATATTGAAGGATATCACATCATCTGCACCAGCAGAACACCACTGCCCTACTCTCAACTGAATGGTTTTATAATCATTTCTATCTTTTGTTGGTATTTCATTAACCCATTCAGGAGGATGCCTCTTGGAACTAGAAAGTAGTGAGGACTCTCATTCTACATTGGAAGAAGGGGGGGATGACAACACCTGAGACAGTGCAATGGGTGACCACGAAACCCTATTTTGAAAAGCAGACCATAACAATTTATTCAATACAAGGCACAGCATAGATGGGCAGCTATCCCCCTTCTGATTTACTCGTGTAGTCCATGGGTGAGTATGGTCCGGTATGGGCAAACACAAGAAGCAATTTCATCACAAGGATAAACCTACAAGCAATCTTGTGGACACCCCATCTCCGCAGTGTTTGTATTGCGTGGCTATGGAATTAAAATATGTAAGTCAACATGATCTTACTGGGTGGATTTGACTGGTTAAAGAATGCCTAGTCAGGCATCACTCACCACAGAGCAGGATCCAAACAATGAGTAATAATAAAAAGGGAAAAAAGGCCCCTAAAAATAAAATAAAGAATAATAAAATATAACTTACCCAGTCAAAATCTCACTGAAATCTGAAGAATAGCTACAGGTTGAAGAGGATAGCCTGAAGAGGAAGAAACTGTGATCCTATGCAAATAGTGAGAGATTGAAGAATGTCCTCCAAGGGACAACTAAGATGAGAAGCCAATGAAAAGGTAAGGTGTCAAATTTTATGAGAAGACACCCAAAACAAAGTACGAGAGGAAAACAATAAAGAGGAATAAGCCAATTGAATTAAAATCTGAACCCAATTGGTGAGGGTGGAAGGAGAAAGATCATGAACAGAGGATGGCTGCCAAGAAATACAGAGGTGGGAACGGGCACCACGGAAAGAAGCCATGTAAGCAGTATAACAGTAAAGAAAGCGTACAAGTCTGTCCAGATCAGACCGAGAATAGAGGTGGTAAATGGAAATAAGGGAAATCAGCGAAAAGAAGTTACCCTCTCAGGCTGCCAAAGTTTTTTGGAGGAAAGAATGATCCAGATAAAGGAGAAGATATGTAAAATGATAAAGAGTACATGAAACATCAATGCCAAATAAATCAGACCTTTAATGTCCACAGGCTAAAAAGAGAAGGTAATAAGTCTAAAGGGAAAGTGAAACAAGGAGCAATTGGAAAGTGGTTCGAATGAAGGCAAAGTGAGGCAGTGAAGGACCACATTAGCTTCCCAATCCAGAAGAGCAACCCACCAAGGTGGTTGATGAATCCAGAAGGAATGCATCAACAGGGAAAGAGTAGGAAGGGTAAACATCCTATGGTATTGGGAAAAGTGAAAGGCTGCCCGATAACAGTGGGTTGAGCAGAGGAAAACCCTCAACTGAGAAACCAATGGTGGAAAATGTTCCATTTAAACTGATAAACTTCCAGGGAGGAAGAGCAAATAGAACAAGTCAGAAAAGAAGCTATCTGTTGGGACAAGCCGGATCTCCTCGCCAAGGACCAGATAAAAACCAGGTGTGAAGACAGAGAACAGGAAGGGCTGGAACAAGCACCAGTGACCAAGGTTGACAAAGAAGGGATGGAGTCAGAGGAAAAGGTAATGGCGGGGTAAGTTGGAGCTGGAGAAGCCACAGAAACCATGGCTGAACCAGCCAGTAAGGAGCAATCAGAAGGACTTGACACAGAGTGACATGGAAATCACCCGGTGAAGAAGTCTAATGGGAGGACAGACGTATAGGTATTTGTTTCAGTCCTGGCTGAAAGCATCGACAGCCAGAGCAATAGAATGAGAGATCAGAGAGAAAAAAACACGACAATTTGTGGTTGAAGGGCATGGCAAAAGCATCAGTGTGAGGAGTACCCCACTCAAGGCAAAGCCACTGGAAAACAAGAGGATCTATAGATCATTTTGATAGACTTTGTCTGGATGGGAAGGTTTGGAAACACCCAGAACATGACATGCAATGATATGCATATCTAGTGTGTGGACTCAAAAAAGAAGATCTAACATAGGAATATAGAGGGATTGAGAACAGGTGCCACCCTGGTGATTGAGATAAGCAATCACAGTAGAATTGTCAGAATGGATCATCACCAGATGAAGAGAATGAACCAAAGTACGACATACAGCAAGAAGCTACAGGATGTT